CCCGGACCCCCGCCGGGGCTCCACCCTCAGACCCCCGGACCCCCACCGGGGCCCCGGGGCCGGGGCTCTACAACCCCGGTGTCAACATGGGCGGATGTTAGACAAAAGATGTTGGAAGAGTATGCAAAGTATGACTTCCCAACAACCATGCAAAATTTGTTGGATGTACGACGCTTCAAGTATGCTACCCTCGACCAATTCCTTGAGGGTTTTCAGAGGGTTGCGCGGAGAGTGCCCTTTCTGGACGAGACAAAAAAGTGCCATGTCCTGCTAACCAACTTCGCAGAGGATGAAAGGAAGAGTGAGGTAAGCCGTGCTGCCCATTATCCTTTGAAGTGGGAACAAGTGATTCACATGGTTCGTGAGTTACCTTCGGTGTCAAACCGAAAGTGGTCTTTCGAACAGATGAAAACAATTACTAATGCGAGAGAGGGAAGGCCGAGGAGATCCTTGGTCTTCTTGTTAACCTTGGTAGCTTTGAGTAGTTGACCCTTCCTGCCCCAACAACACAAACCCTAGTTGGGTCCGAAGAAGAAAAGGAATAAAAAAAAAAATGGGAGAAGAAAGAAATGGGATAAGAAGCGAAACCATGATTGAAAAACAGGAGCTGAAACTGCAAAGGACAGATGGCTTCTTACGATGCTATTATTGTGATGAGGAAGGCCACACTCTAATCCGGTGCCCAACACTAAAAAAGGAGCTTGAAGAAGGGATTGTCAAGAAAAATGTCAATGGGTAGATCTGTGATGTCAAATGGAACAAGGTAGATTTCCGAGTCAAAGGAGGGATACGAGCAGTAATCCTAGAAAAGGCCAAGGCCAGTAAGGATAGAAAGAAGAAGGTTAGGGTTAATGCTATCACCTTTTATGGTATTTTACCTCCGGAGATAGCGGCCAAGGACAACAGTTCTGGTCGCCAAAGACTGAATGTATCTCATAATAGTCAGAAGGAGGTTGAAGAGAAAAAGTGGGAGAAGGCTCAGAGCTAGACCAACTGATTGACGGGACCAAGGAGCTAGTGAAGGAAGGAAAAGGGAAGGAAGCCGCCGGGAAGAAGAGAAAGGTGGTCTTGAGATCCGAGGCCGAAGAAGGTGTCTCAATAGATGAAGTGGTGAAGAAATTGCTCGAGGAAACCGAGATCACCTTATCCTGGAAGGAGGCAGTAGCCTTGGTGCCAAAGTTTAGGGAGGAACTCAAGAAGATGGTTGAGAGGCGCAAAGTAGAGATCAATAATGTAAGACTATTTCCTAAACATATGGAGAGAGCCCCGCCAGGTACGAAGATGAGATTTGGTAACATGTCATGCGAATATCTGAATATCTTCGTAAATGACATGAAAGTTAGTGGAATCCGGGGCTGAGATGGTGCTCATGTCCTCAGCCACGATGAGATCTTGTGGGCTCGGAATAGACAGGAAAGTTAATCAGCAACTCTCCAATATAGTCGGATTCCCTTGGGTTTGTGGTTCCCAACTTGGATCATGATTGCATCCTCGGAGCCCCTTTCCGACATAGGATGGAGGCTTGTGCGTTCTTTGGCCATGATGGGGCAGCCTGACTCTCTCTCCAAGATCCTATCACTGATCAAGAACAGGCTTTTGTGGTAAGTGATCGACATCATCCTCGTCATCAGCGACATGCTAACTCTCTTGAACATAAGGAATCTGACAAGTTGATAGAGGAAGTACGAGCAAAACTGAAAGAGAGTGGGATAACGGACGAGGAGACAACGGTTAAAGTAAATGATATTGGAAAAATGTTCAAGCTCATCGATAAAGCCAAAGAGTTGGGCGATAAGAGAGAGATGGAAGGGGTCAAGGATGCTGTGAGGGCAAAAGCAAGAACGATGCAACTCAGCTTCTCTGCAACTAAGCCTTGTTTAGGAAGATAGTCGTCGGATCCAAGAAGAAGTATAAGTGCAAGGGCACTAAGAAGAATCTGGTGGCAGTCCTGATAGAGGAGGACTATAATGAGGCATTAAAGAAGGAAAAAAAGATTAAGAGGGGATTAAGAGAGGCTGCATTGAAAGGAGGAAGAGTTACTTTGGAAAGGTTCAAGATAATGAAGATAGGAGCTGATGACTTCCTTCTACTTGCAGAGAAGGATTTTTTATTTGTGACTTGTGTCAAAAGTACAGTGGTGCCTTTTCCTTTAATGATGAGGAGAGCGGACAACTGGACGTCGACATGATCAAAATGGTCAAGATCTATACCGTTCCTCACACGCCTTGGAATGACAGACCCACTAAATATGCTCAGAAGGAAGAAGGAGAGGTGATCAAGTACTTAAACCAGAAAATAACGTCCAACATTGCGAAATCAGCGGATGGCACTTACGCCAATCATTGGTTTTGTTTTTGAAAGTCGGGCGGTGGCCTACGTTGGATACTGAAT